GGTTTCACCCTTTTGGCTATTGGATTAGGACTTTGGGTTTCTGTAGATATAGGAGGGAGTTTATAAAGTAGGTATTGGAGTTTGGGTGAACTCTACAAGGGCAGTAGTAGATAACTGTAGCAGTCACAGCTTGCAAGTATTTGTTTTCAGACTCATTATAAGTTACTAAAAAAGCTTAGTCTGAAAATGTGTAGGACATAAAAAGATTAGAGATGTATATACTACATCCTCTCTAGGGCATCTTAGTAGTATGAGAATCATCTATAGAATTAAGGTATAAGTAGTATAGCATATATCAATCTGGGTGGCCTTCAATGAAGCAGCACGAGGTTATGGGCTAGCATAATTGAGATGGTGATGCAGGATAGGAGACATTAGAGAGTTTAATTAGATAACTCAAATAATAGTGAGTTATAGATACAGCATCTAGTGTAGACCTAGTAATAGGTAGCTATTTAATTAAATACTCAAAAGGCACAGGTATGGTTAGAATGTACTCTTATTAACCAAGAATGTACTATTAAATATATCTAATAAAAATTCACCTTTCTGTGACATTGTGAAAGTAAAAAAAATGTTTCTATTATAATAAATTGTAAGTTTAAGAAGTTAATTTATTAATAATAAACTTAGTACTTAAATTTTAATTTAAGTTAAAAGTGTTATAAAGTAGATAGATTTAGTTTAAAGTTATATTTATTAAAAAAGATCAATAGCTATAGTATAATCTAAAAAGGTAAATATATTATAAATATAAAATTTAAATTACAAATTATAATAGTAGTATTAGATTTAGTACAGTGCATGACATTTAAAAACTAAAATAAATTTATTGATTTTCAAAGACTTAAAATTTATAATACAAAAATAATACTAAAAAAATAAAGCTGCTAAATTGTAGCTAAGTCTATTTACTATAACTTAGCAGCCTTTTTTTAAAAAAAATACTTAGTTATTCTTGATTTATAATCAGCTAAAAATACCAAATTTACATATGCTTAAGATAAATAGAACAAAAAATGTGACTTGGATTGATCAATAAAATTTAATAGTATGTATATTCAGAATTTGATTGGCTGATCACAAATTACGTAAATACTTACAAAAATCGGGAGTTTCATATAAAATCTGAGTGTTCTTTGCATGTGCTTTTGAGAAAATGCTTATTCAAAAAACCAGAGCGTGAAAAAAATGTACCTTTAACAGTTAACACAAAAAGCATATTAAAATTTTCTTATACTCTTAACCCCTTAACCACTTATCTGAGAATCTGAGAAGAAAATATAGGGTACAAAGAAGGAAATGTGTGCACACGAATTCTGATATTCCTTTTTTTTTTTTTCTTTTGTTAAGCTTGTGCAAAAGGCATCAAAATTTTCTCATACCCCTAACCACTTATCTAAGAAAAAATGTAAGGCACGCAAAGAAGGAAATGTGAGCATATGGATTCTTCGTAGATTTTTTTTTTTGTCAAGTTTATATTCGGGTTCTTTAGATTAGAAATTATAAAAAAAAAATTTTTTTTCACCTATTTATTTTATTTTTTCCTTTTAACTTTTAAAACTTATTCAATTTTGTGAGAACAAATTAATAAAAGCATGCCAAAATGAAGAAATAAAGTGTTTTAGATGCTTAAAGAATATAACAATACAAAAAGTAAGCAAGCCAAAAAAAGATAAAAGAAGAAAGTTGCGGATATCCTGAAGGATAATTTTACTGAAGACGATGTTTGGGCTGAGGATGTTTTTGCTAAAGATATTCATAGAGATGTCTTTGTTAAAGGTATCCATAAAGATGTTTTCGATAAAGATATATTTGCTAGAAACAGTGAATTTGATGAGGAAAGTGAAAAAGAGCTTGGAGAAGAAGTAATGACGGTCCCAACTCTTGTATAGAAGAAAGCTAAAAAAAAAGATGCAAGAATAATTAAAGGATTACCAAAATTGACGTATTATCGTAAGTTTGGTACTTCTGGTATACTTTCAAATGCTGCCAAAGGAGCCTACAAAATTACTGATTTTTTTAAGTCTATGAGGTTGATATAGTAAAAGGTTTTTAGCTTTTGTGTAATCAGTTATATTAAAAGGTTTTAATTATTGTTGTTATCATTAAAGTGAGTTTTCTGAAAAGTTTCAATACCTCTCGCATTTCCTATGTTCCCCATAACTTCCTGGGCAAGCGAGTATTTTAGTAGAGTTGTGGCCTATTCTAAGTCCTCTCTATTAAGTGGGTCTTCTAATGAGAATGTAGGTGAATTTATGCTTTTTGAAGGAATTGAACAGCTTAAAAAATATCATATGAAGAATCAAAAAAATTAATGGTGATTAAATATAATAAACAATAGGTAGTTTACAAATATTTTGTGCGGTTAAATGGAAGTGATGGCAAAATGAAAGCAAATGAAGAAGCTGCACATGTTGTCTGTATCTCTCCAAAACCATATACATCTTAGAGAATTTGCTTTTTGGCTGAGTTCTATTTACATTATAGAACATTTCTAGTTATACAATGTGGTTGGCACCAAAAATACTACTGACTTATTGATGATGAAAATGTTGCTTTGCAATATAAAGAATAGATACATAAGGAATTGGGAGTAAATGGAATTAGTCCAACCTGTTTTATGCAGTATGTCAACAATTTTATTTTATCAGAATATACAGGAGAGTCTCAAAAAAAAATTTGTTTGTGAATAGCAGAAAGATGGTTAGACATTTTAGAATATGAATATAAGGAATATACAAAGAGAATGTATTTTGATAGGCATAAGCATGAGGATATTGTAGTATATCGAAGTATGTTTTTAGATAGAATGAGAATATTTGAGCAAAGAATAGCAACATATGAGAGAGAAGTAATGAAAAAGGTTCTACCAGTATTTAATGAAGGGGAATACAAGTTAATTTTTGTAACTCATGATGAATGTGTGTTTTATTCGAATAATGGTAAGAGAAGGATTTGGGTACCTGAAAGTAAGATGCCCTTGTGAAAAAAGGAAAATAGAAGATTAATAATAGTAAGCGAATTTCTTATAAAAGAATGTAGTCAGCTAAAATTAACTGATGAGGAGGCAGAAATGTATTCAGGTGTTTTCGCAGAAGCTCATTGTTATCTTATACCTGATAAAAACCAAGAAAGCTATTGGACAATTAATCATTTATTGAATCAAATAAGGAATAAAGCTATCCCTATATTTGAAACAAAATTTTCTAATACAACTGCCATCTTCGCTTTTGATAACAATACCAACTATGCAGCATATACAAAGAATGCTTTTATTGCATCAAGGATAAATTTAGAACCCAGAGGAACCAACCAGTAATATGACCAATGACTTTTTTTGACTTTGATAAAAATGAATGAGGATCCTATTATGCGAGAAAAGCCGAAAAAACTAAAATTAGTATTGAAAGAAAGGGGTCTTTGGAGAGAAGGATTGCGCTTAGAATGTAAGGTGTGTAAGAATAAAAATTAGCAAATAATCGGTTGTATGTAAATTGTTGTGCATAAAGGATTATGACTTTATAATCAGACTTTTTTGCACAGAAGTCAGCTGTTGTAGAAATAATAGAAAATGCTGACCACTTGTGTATTTTTTATCTAAAATATTACTGCAAACTTAATTTCATCAAATGTATTGGGGTGTGGCCAAATTCTATACAAGAAATCACTGTGAGTACTCATGGGCTGGTTTACAAAAAACCATTCTATAGACACTTGATTTCATCGATGTTATTACAATTAGGAAATTTGCTCAAAAGTCCTAGCGATATATAGATTTGTATCGTGAAGTGCTAACAGGAAAATTAGCCAAATATGCCTGTAAGAAGTTTAAGTCTTATAAATAGGTTTCTTGAAGTGAATTAGCTTCTTTCATACAAGAGAACCAAGAGAACATCGATTGTATAGATTCGTAAGTTTTTTTTTTTTAATTTGGTCTAAATTGTATATATCATATACTGTTCTAGGCTTTAATGATTCTAACAAAGTATTGGTTAATTTATTTGAGTTTTGATGTTTTCGCAATATGACGAAATTTGTTTTTTTTTTTTTTTTTACAAAAAAAATTTTTTTGCTTTTTTTTTTTTTTGCAAATTTTCTTTTGCAAATTTTTTTCTTTGCAATTTGTTTTTTTTTAGCCTTACATATATTTGTAGAGAATACTATATTTTTTTAACTGGGTACTGCACAAGAATGGACAAACAATGATACTATAAATATGAGAATAACACAAAAATGAACAAGAGGTAATAAAAATATAGCGTTAATAATGCATTAATGATATAATATTGGATTATAATAAACAAAATCACCTATTTGTTATTTTTGGATTATTTGGAAGTTGTGATATGTAAAACATTGCAGTGCAGTTTTTGGAAGGGTTAGATCATAACTCTTATTCAAGCACAGGTAGTATAAAGGTTACAGTTTTTATTTGAGTATAGGCAATAAAAAAATTTAGAAACTGCTATTAAAGCAGTACAATTTTGTTGGTCACGTAATTATGCAGAAATATATATAAATCGACATAAATTGAAATTTTAACCGATTTTAGGTTTGGGACTCGAAATGGGACAATATCACGTGATTTTGGTCTTTAAGTGTCATGCACTGTACTATCAAAATTAAAAGTAAATAAAAATTTAGATATTTGTAATTAATAGACAATCCATCTGTCATCTAGAAGACTAATCAATTCTGGTCTGATTCTTCATATTCTATGAAGACATCTCTGTGACTTAAACATCTACTAGCAGACTTATAGAGAGAAGATAAAATTTTTTACAGAAGTGGTGGTTGGTTCATAGTATAAAGATTAGTATTTATAATCTTTCTCTATTTTTGGTTGATAAAAATAGTATATGGGCATGACTAACAGATCACTAATATTGATGATAAAGCTCTAAATACAATAAAAAAAAAAGATACTTAAATATATTATCATATAGTAAAATTTAAATATTGGGAATATTTACTAAAGCTTATATATATTTGTATATTTTAAACTTCCTCACTCAACATTCTTGAAAATTTCTTTTTGATATCGCTAAAACCTATTGAAAACATTAACACAACCAATATGTCACTAAATAAAAAAAGATTAAAAAGAACAAAAGACTATAAGATACAAGAAATTAAGATACTAATATTGAGATATAATACTTTAAACATTAGTTTACACTTTAATTCCTTTGAAATGTTTCTTAAATTAAAATTGATGTTTTTAACATTGTCTTTAAACTCTTTATCTAAATAATGAAGCAACTTAGATGATTTTTCATTATTATTTTTTTGCCTTTCTATACTGAAACTAATTGTTGTATAATTATTTTCATTTTTTAAATCATTATTATGATCATAAAAAGCAGAAATAGAAGCAGAAGGTGATAGTTCACTATAATTTTTTAATAACAAATTCTGAAAATTTGTTCTACTTTGTTTGCTGTTATTGTCTAATTATAAATTCTGACTATTCACTCTGATTTTTTTACTTAAATATTAAATAAATGAGTCTTTTATTTTATTAATAATATTACCATATATAATTTTTCTTCATATATATTTGTAGTTATATTTTCTTCTCTGTAACATGCAGGCAATTTTATATCTTCAGTTAACTCTTTTTGTACTCTTGCATATTGAATAAGCTGTAACAAAAAAATGTTAAAATATGCAAGATGCTCTTATAATATTCCATCTCAATACTTACCAATATATCAAAAATATTAAAATGATCTAATAAAGTAATACAAACTGCAATACTTGCATTTCTTGATATATAAATATCATTTTAAAGGTTAAGAACAATTTGTTTTTTTTCTATCTTAAAAGAAAGATATGTATCAGTAATAGAATAGGAGATTTTTAAATATAACATATTGCAATACAACATATTGTAACTGACTAAATTTTATTTGAACCAAAAGATCATCACAAGAGCAACCAGAAAATACTCTTGTTAAATAAAGTTTAAACCAAAAAAATCATCATAAAAGCAACCAAAAGATGCTTTTACTTGGTAAAAGCTATTACTAATATTATTAGAATCAGAAGATTATCATAAGACTAACCTGAAGATGGTTTTACTAAAATAATATCTGCTTGTCACAATGCTAAGATAAAAATAAAAAAATCATTCTTGATTTTAAATATGTCTCAGGTAAGCTTTATTTTATCTCTGATCTTAGAATCATCTTTAAATTTGTATAATTTTGCTAAGTAACTATTATGTTTAGACTAAATATCTTCAGTAAAAGAGGCTTGTTTTTCTCATTATACTTAGTACTCATATAAATAGTTGTCATACTCATTTTTTAATATAGATTTAATAGCTATTTATACTTTTGCTTTATATTTATTTTTTTTACATATTATAATTCTTGAATACAACTTATTTATAATATAAAATTTGTAAATTTTTATAAGTAAATTTTACTATTGAGCCAAATGTGAAATATTCTAATCTAAAACCTTTTTCTTACTAAGTAAATCACTCTTAAAGCTTTTAAAAAAAGTTGTAGAACTAGTACTTTTTAAAAAATTTTTAGAAAATATTTTACTAATATAAAATTTTTTTAAAAAAATTAATTTTTTTAAAAAAAAATTTATATGTTAATGAAATATTTTTTAAAAATTTTTTAAAAACTATTAGGCTAATTTTAATATTTTTACTACTATTAAATGCATCTTAATAAGCTCTACAACTTTTATTAGAAGCTTATAAATAATTTACTTAGTAAGAAAAAAGGTTTAGATTGAAGCACTTCATATTTAGCTCAATATAAAATCTATTTATAAAAATTTGCAAATTTTCTCTAAATAGCAAATAGATTATCTATTAAAGATATTATATTATCTATCAAATTAGCTTCTACAATTACTATAAATTATTTTTTATATCTTAATTCACAAATTTATTATAATATTTAAATATCTTACTATATTTTTTGTTCTTTAATCTTATTTTTAATCAATGTTATCACATAGACACTTTTAAACACTTTGAACATTTTTTTAAATTAAAATTACTCAAAAATTTATTAAGATAATCTATTTTAATTTGTCAATTATTATAAAACACACTTATGGTGGTTTTGCACCTATTATATATTTTTATTATGTTTTTTAAAATTTTCCAAGTTTTTATAAGTTTTGTATATAAAATTTTTAACATCAATTTTTTCACTTTAAAGTTAATATTAAAGTTAGGATTAGGGTTTGAAAAGAGTTTTTTGGGGTGTAGAATATTTTTACTTAGAACACCTCATATCGATTAATTAGCCAGTTTTTGAGATAATACAACATAGGTGGTAAAACATCATAGGTGTGTTTTAGTACAGATATTATAAAACGCACCTATGGTGTTTAACATCATACCGGTTATACAAAATATTTACTAGATCGATCAACTTAAATTATTACATAATTACATAATATTTATGATCGACATTAATTTAATTTAAACTTTTTTTTTATATATCACTTTTTTTTATACATTGTTTTTTTTTAGCATCGCTTTTACTCTAGATCACTTTTACTCTAGATCGCTTTTTTTTAGATTGCTTTTCTCTTGTATCGTTTTTTTTTTTTATCATTTTTTAGTTTTTACATGTTACTGGTCTTTTCTATCTGTGTTACTTCTAGTCGCATAACTTCTTTAACCATACTGACTTTCTATTCGTGTTATCTTTTTAACTGTGTTTATACCTTCTATCCTGTCACTTTCTTCTGACGTGTATGGCATTTTTATCTTGTGTTATTTTTTTGTTTGTATGTTTTTTCTATCTGTTTCACTACTCTAACCTTGTTGCCTTTTATAGCTGCATCGCTTTTTAATCATGCTGCCTTTTTTAACTGTGTCACTTTCTTCTAACGTGTGTCCTCAATTTTGCGTCTTTTTGTTTTGTGTGTTTTTCTATCCACTTTATTGTTCTAACCTTGTGTTTTTTCTAGCTGCGTTGCTTTAACCGTGCTGTCTTTCCTATCTGTGTCACTTTTTTTAGACATGTATGACCTTCTTGTACCAGTTTTTTGGCTGTTTTTTTTTTCTATTAGCTTCTCTATTCTAACCATGTTGCCTTTTCTACTGCGTCATTTCGTAATCATATTGGCTTTCCATTGTACTGGCTTTTCCATCGTGCTGGATTTTCTATTATACTGGCATTTTCATCGTACTGACATTTCCATCGTACTGGCATTCAATCATACTGGCTTCTTCATCATACAGGATTTTCTATTATACTGGATTTTCCATTCACATTGCTTTTTTTTAACTGTGGCATCTTTTTTGTTTGCGTCATTTTCTTTTACCGTGTGTTGCTGTGTCGCTTTTTTGTTTGCTTTTGGCTGTTTTCACTACACTGGTTTGCATTATTTTCTTGAGATCTTTTTTTTTTTTTCTTTTGTGCTGAATTTTTTTTTGAATCGATTTTTTATTTTCAGGTCCAATTTTATATTACTGTTAACATGAATAACTTGCCCTTTTTCAGTGTTAATGAGGATTATGATAGCTTTAGGAGCAGTGATGAGAATGTTAATGAAACCTCTGTCAATATACTCAACAATTTCAACACTCAATACAGTGATGAGTGTGTAATCGAAGAAAATGAATCGGATTTGGAGAGTGAAGATGAAAATGAATCAGATTTGGAGAGTGAAGATAAAAATGAATTGGATTTGAGAGTGAAGATGAAAATGCAAGCGCTACGCATTCTTTGGCCAAAAATCAGGTCTTTGAATCTTGGGATGATATTGATAAGTAAGTGCAGTTAAAAAAATTTTTGTGTTAAAAATCAAGTTTGAATATTTCATTAATATCTGCCTTTAGGTACTTTGAATGTTATGGCTAGGTGAATGGCTTTGCATTTTGTAAAGTTTGTAGTGAAATTGACAAGGTCGATAAGAAACCCCAATGTCATGTATATTCATGTATGAAAGGTCGAAGATATGTACAACATTAGGAAGTGCATGTAATTGATGAAAGAAATAAAGGTCACAAGACAGAAGGTTGTCCCTTTCATGTCAATTTATATCGATGGAAGAGTGATGATAGAATTTGTATTTCAAGTATTGCCAGTATACATAATCATGAAATGGTTGAAAACATTATTATGATTAAACCTAGTTATTAATATTTGACTAAAGAAATGCAGGATAACATTTGATTACTTGCAGCTTGTGGTGTATGAGCTGGTGCAATCATTGAAGTTTTACAGAAAAAAAATCCTGGAAAATATATCTATTCACGTAATGTTTATAATATGATACAAACAATTCGTTGTGAGAACCATGTAATGGGTGATGCAGCTAGTATGTATTTAGAACTTATTAAATACAACATGAAGAGCCTGGCTATTATGTTGATGCAAGGTTTGAGGGAATAGATAACCACTTGGTTGGTCTCATATAGATGCGGTCAAGTCAGATACAACTTTAGGCCAGGTTTTATGATGTTGTCCTTATGGACACAATATTTAAAACGAATCACTATATGATGAAACTTTGTATTATAATAGTTGTTGACAACTATAACCATTCACGCTTAGTAGCTAATGCTATCATATCAGATGAGACAAAGGAAACTTTTTCATAGGTTTTAGAAAGTCTAGTTAAAGCATCAAATGGTTTAGCACCAAAGCTTTTATTTACAGATGCAGATTGTGCAATGGTAGCGGCTATAAATGAAGTTTTGCCAAATACGAAGCACCATTTTTGCCTTTTCCATATTAGAAAAAAATTAGAAAAACAGTTCATGGGTAAATATAAAGGCGTGAAATAGGGAGAGTTTTTTAATACATTCTGTCATACAAGAAATAGTCACGTGGAAGCTATTTTTGAGAGGCGTTGGACTGACATGATACAAAAGTATCCTGATTCTGCACAATATTTAGGAAAACAACTTTATCCTTGTCGAGAGGTGTGGGTTCTTTGCTTTACTCATAGATCATTCAACGCAGGTTACAAACAACCCAACGAATTGAATCATACAATAGCCTTATCAAAAAACATGTAAATGGTACTACATCTTTGTTTGAGTTAATTAATACGATTGAGAAATTACTTGTAAAGGAGGGTCGATATCAACGTTTCAATGAGGTTGTTGGTGTTTTGCCTAATATCTATAATGAAGAATATTATACTAGATATTTTAAGGCAGTCGACAAATCATGTCAAAAATTTTTAATGACCGCGGTTCTTAAAATTCAACGTCGTGAAATAAATTGCAGCATTTACTATAAAGCACAATTAGCTAATTTAGAAGATGAGACTGGTCAGGTATGTTTTTAATGTTATTCAAGCACAGCAAAATATATAAAATCAAATCAAAATTTGGTTCAAATTTTTTTCTATAGTTGACCAATAATGTATCAATTGGAATATTCAGCGATGATATGTTTGATGCATTCGTGATTGAACTTGAACAATTAATTAGTAATATAGATCATGTGCATATTCATGAAATTTGGAAGGTCTCATCGATTGATTCAAAAAGCTGACATTATATAGTATTATATGATGAGGCAATGCATCTTTGTACCTGTCTAACATTGATTAATCGCGATATTCCCTGCCAGCATTTTTTTACTGTAATGTTATACTCAAAAATTGCCAGGTTTCATATTGAACTTATATCACGGTGATGGTATTTAGACCAGGAGGTAAACATGAATATTACAAGTAAGCCTGTAATTTCTACAACAGTTAATAAACAAATTGGACAATTTGAGCACAATTTACAAGTTAATTTCACACATCTTAATAATATTCGTGGCGATTATGTTTTTACAAGTAAAGTTCATAAAGAAATATCACACAAGAAGCTATGGGGTGAAGGATTTGGTGTTATGAAAAAGACCCTTGACTTAGCAATTGCAATGGGAAAATACGATGAATTATATGATATGCATCTTAAACTTGCAAATAAAATGGAAATAGAGCTCATAAGAAATAACGGACACAACATTCAAAATGATGATGATCCTGCCCAATTCGCAATTACCATTAGCAACCCAATTGGTGTCTATTCTAAGGGCAGAAAGCCAAAAAATGGAAGATTAATATCATTTAATGATAATAAATATAAGAAACGAAAAATAGATAATACAACTCGAGTTGATCATAAGGCACTGGGTGTTCATAGGAATGAATTGTCAGACATTACAAATTTGAATGTGTCTCATCGTTGTGGTATTTGTGGTAAAACAGGTCACAATTCCCATATATGTAATATGAACAGCCCTAATGAGGATGATTATAGTGATCATAAGGATGATGATTTGTCTTTGCTAGTGGAAAAAAATAATATGGAGAATTTAAATTTTACAAATCAAGGTAAATTCAGTGTTGTCATTTAATAAATTAACAATAGTACTAATTATTCAATGCTACAATAGTCATTAGCCATGCCAACTATGAGAATACTCCTCGACACTGTAGTGTTTGTGGCCAAGCAGGTCATAATGCTCGCACATGCACAAGTCAAGATAGTTATATTGATTATGATATATCACTGTCAATTGCAGGACATAATAATGGTATGTTTAAAAGTTTATATTTTCATTGAAATGGTTTTATAACTATTATTATTAAATTTTGTATATTGTAGCCAATGTTAATTATGAAAATAAGTTTTGTCGTTGTGGCAACTGTGGTCAAACTGGTCATAATGCATGCACATGCAATGCTACGAAATAATTTTACTATTTGAGTCAAAATTTTCATTTATTATATTTCATGCTTATACTGCATCTATTTTTAACTAATACTATTATAGTATGGTATTTAGCTTTGTTAACTGTACTTTTGAACATTATTGTTTGAATGAATATTGTGATAGTCTTGATAGTAGCGTAGGATTTCATAAGCTATTAACCATATTATTTTAAGAGCTAGATTTCATGCATAGTTTTTTTTTTGTAGTAGAGCAATGATAGATTAGGTTATATGAGCGTTGTTGAATTCAAAAGTTCTGGTTAAACTTTGTGGCATAGTAAGATCATGTCAAGGTTTATTTCTATTGTTTTATGATACTCGATTCAAAAGTATTTAAATTTTATATCAAGGTAAGGATGAGTTAGGATTATATTATAATGGTTTATTTTCGTTGTTATAGTTATGCAAAAGACATTGTTTCGAAAGAACATATCTAAAAAATTTGGCCAGTATTAGATCTAATATTAGGATTATGTTCTTTAGGGAACTTGGGTTAACAATGATATTTAAGTGATAATATCATGCATCAATATGTAGCATTATTCTTAATATAAGCAGAAATTTATTTAATTAGATAATGGAATTAAGTAGAGTTAGAACCAGTTTTGGTTTATATGATAAACAGGTTTTATTAGTTTGAAGTTTGTGAGTTGTAATATTAACGTTAAGCATACAATACAAATCACGTGCCAATAGTAAATATTTATTTGTTGTTATTTTTGCTAAAGGCATGTAAAAATTGACCAGCGTTAGGGTTAGTATTATGGTTAAAATAATGAACGTCATACAGTAAAATTTGGCCAGAATTTTTTTTATTAGACATAAAAGATTATTTTTAAGGCAAAATTTGAGTTGCAATGTTTGAAAAGCCTTCGATTTCGCATTACACAAAGATTGCATCAATCTTGTAATCTATATAGAAAATTGTCTTTGTTTGGAGTTTATTAATAGAAATATAATTAAACACATAGATGTTAAACAACTATAATAAGCAATACTATAGTGTATAATACCATAGGTGCATTTTAGTAAACCCATTTTAGTAAAAGTATAATTTGTTTATAAATAAATTTAGCACTTAAAAAAATATATAATTATATATTATTTAACTTACTTTATTGATTATTTAAACTTTGAATATAAGCTTGAACAATTTTAGACAATCTTGAATGTTAGATATTTTATTTAGTATAGACACATTCATATACAACACTTTCTCTAATAATATCTTATTTTTTCTATTTTTTACTCTACTCTTTTCATCTTCTTGATTTTGCAATCTTAATCTCTTATTTTAGTTAATAATAAATTAGCACTTTAGTATCCTTTCTAAATTAAATACTAAACAAGTTTAACTTAAATTATTACTAACTCTTAAATTTAGTTAGCTATGGCCACTCTAGTTAGTTTTAGTTACAGATAAACTAGTTTGAGTTTTTTTCTTATTTTAGAATATAAAATTTAAATATATTCTTTTTATTGTAAGAAAATTAAATTTCAATAAAGATAAAGACATAGTCTCACTATTAATATTCAAAAAAAAATATTGTTTATTTTGAACTTTAACTATAGTATATTTTGTAGTATTAGAATATTGTTTTAAGAAAAATTCAGTTAAATTATTATTAAAAGTTAAAATAATATCTGTATTATTAATAAAAGTGTTGCTAATTTTTACTTTAAATGATATTATCTGATTATGTAAAAGTCAATTAGCTTTTCAGATTTTATATAATCAAATAAAGCAAGAAAAAGAAAAATAAAAGAAATGCTTTAATACCTCAAAATTTTGTTATAAAAATTATACTTCAACTTTTAAGCAAAAGTTTTTAATACTAAATTTTATACTATATATATCTAAGCTCTTTTACTCTAATCCAAAGCTAATATTAACCTCTAACTATAAATTATTTTCTTTTAATAAAAATTTTATAAGATTAGATAATATTACTATAGGTAAAAATTAGTTATAACTATTAATAAATAATTATTATAAATCAAACTAATAATGTTTAATATCAATAATATAAAAATTAGTATAATATAAAATAAAACAATTGTTATTAAAACAAAAATCAAAATTCTTTTTTTTTTAGAATGACTACTTTGGAGTTTGGCACTTTTATTTAATATTAGTTTAATCATATAGACCTCATCTGACTTTGCTATATCAACAAAAGTATAATTAGTTATATATACAACTTTAATTATTATCTATTTAAGGGTTCTGCTATACCTATTTCTATCTATAATTACTCACCAACTGCTATACTTAAGATCTGTTTATAAATTCTCTATTTAAACTCTCAGATTAACTTTATACTATTAGATATTCTTTCTAATAAACAATTGCTACTAAGGTCTCTTAAAACTACTTTATTCTTGTAATAAACCTACTAGAGCAGTTTATGTCTAATATATATATCATTTAATTTTTTGGTAACTTATGTTGAGTTTGAGGACAAGTACTTGTGGCTTTTTATTTTTGCTACTATTATCTATTTCATACTTTTGTAAAGTTTACTTAAACTCAATATATACTTTACAAACTATTATTTATATTCTTGGCTTTCCAAACTACTAATTTAGATGACTTAGAAAAGCTGCGATCTGCTTCTGATCTTTATAGTTAGGTTTTTTTCTTTAGTTTTTCTCTGGCAGATAGTTAATAGAATGCTTTTTAGCAAACACTTCAGTTCTATACAGTTTTACCAGTTCTTCAGATAATAATCTTTTATATAGTATTATCAAAAATCTGTGCTATCTTTCTACTTGGGTCTTGCCAAGCAGACTTCTGTATTCTTTAATCTATTAGTTTTACATGGCTACTTTATTTAGATTTTGTGTAATTTATATATTATACTATAGTTTTACAACCTCTCAGTACTAACTAGTATGACTATATTATAGATGCAAACTCAATAAGATATAGTTTACCAAAAATACATTTCATAAATTCAAATTTTGTTACTAATAGAATTTGAACTTTTGTTTTGCTACTTGAAGTGCAACAACTTATCAACTATATTAAGTTACTACATTCTAAAAATCAAAATTCTTTAATATTAAAGTTTGTATTAAAGTTTAAGATAGAACAAAAGCATAATTTTATTAAAATTTTACAAGAAATTTTTTTATTAAAATATAATAAGTAGTTTTATAAACAAAATTTTGAGTTATTAAAGATTTTTTAAAACTAACAAAGTTTGTTTTAATTTTATATTACATCTAATTTGATATTATACTACAGATTAATAATTTTATTAATTATAATATCTGACAAAAGTTTCTTTATATTTCTAGTTTTTGCTAAATTATGTATAAGTATATAAAATTTTATTATATATAATACATTGCATATGCAGATTATACTAATATTTTTCAGGTAAGCTTGATAGTAAAATATCTGCTTTAATTATATATAAAATTTTAGCCAAAAAAAATGCTTCTTGCTTTATATAAATGATATAAAATTGTTTTTAATCACCTATCTAAAAGGTTTTAAGCTTTCAATTTATAAACTAGCAAAGCAAATTTGCTATGATAAAAGTTCTGTGTGCTATTGGGTAAAAGGTAGCAAAAATCAAGAATTTAAAGAATAAACTAAGGTCAGATCATAAAAGAGCTACTATCCAAAAACAAGACAAACAGATTTTGAAGCTGAGAAAAAAACAAAAATATTATAGTTTTAGAAAGCTGTTGAAAGCTGATAAAATGAAATGTTGCTATTTATATGTATATTATTTAATAGCATCTTTATGAAGATGGGAACTGCTATTATAGAAAGCTCTCAAAGCTTTTGCTAGGAGAGAAGCATTGAAAAATATCTTTTATGATTGAAGTATAAGAATTTCAACTAGGATTCTATAATGTTTATTAACAAAATACTTTTTGCTTGAATTAACAATTAAAAAAAGTATAACAATTTTTCAGAAAAAGAAAATTAACTTGTTCTATCAAGCATTTATTGAAAATTCACATATAGAGCTGTTTTTCTTCTTTAGACTTTAGCAGATTGATTTGTTTTATACGTAATCTTAATATACAAGATATAATTACTTTATATGAAACAGGCTTTCTGTCTTCTATTGTAGACCTTTTTAATAAACACTATAATAAATAGATCTTGTAAAAGGCCAATGATCCAAAGCATCATTTAAAAATTGCAAAGGCTTGGAAGAAAAAAATACTATTTAGATTCTTTTCTAACTATTAATGTCATCTAACCAAAACCTAATTAAAAATGTCTAGAAGCTGATAAAAATAAACTTGCCAAAAAAAAATTAGAACTCTTAGTCATATAAAGAGTGAAATAACAAGAAAATAGAATAGCTTATCTAAAGAATATGCAAAAAATTTGGTTAGGAATATAAGAAGTTATATAGAAGCTTTAATTAAGCTAAAAATAAATATACAATGTATTAATTTTTCTTGTAATGCAATATATTTTTAAATAAAAAAATTTTTTACTTACCTTACCTCTGTGCTGAGTTAAAGATATAGAGAAACTTTTGTAAAATCGATGTAATATTAAATATTACTAGGATTTAATAATATTAATTAATTTTTTTACTTTGGTTATCTTGCCAGTAATCTTTATTAAAATTAAACTATTTAATAAAACAGAGAATATTATATATTT